TCCCTCACTCAAATTTTGCAACATCATCGTGCAAAATCTCCGGAGGGGATAGAAAGAAATCCAAACCACCAAACCAAACCATGCCAAAGCAACAAGCTATCGTGGTCCAACAGGTACACATTTTTACTCCACCGACCGACTTCGATCGTAGGAACGAATAGGCGAATAAAATCGTATCAAATCTTTAAAGCCTGCTCCCCGAGAAGGCAAGTCCGCAATATGCAAAACTTGGTCATCTTCCACCCTCGTGGCCTGATATGTATGAAGCTATGTCCAACTTTAATTGAGCCCAAAGTCCATTAGATCGGTTGACCAATCAGAAACATTGTCTTGTTCTGTTACTTATTATTTTGCATAAATTATTATCACGTAAAATATCTATCAGCCCCAATAATAAATTCGCAAGAATTTGCATGACTCTTCTTCTCCTACGACGTTTTCCATCATTTTAATACCAGACGGAGATACTTGTGTACATAAAATGCAGTGCAAGTCGTAGTAGTGCGTCTCTCTTTTTAACCGAGTCATGATGTTCTTTATAAAACCAAACCATGCATTCACGCTTGACTACTCGAGAGATGTCCGATTATCGAAGAGAAGACAAGGTACTTTTTGCAAGGATGAAATGAAAACCACTTTTGTTTTCTATTGTAGTATATCCTACTTAAATATATCGACTCGCCATCCTATCCTACTAACCATGTTTTGTTGGGCCGGTCGAGTTAAACAGTGTGTTGGGCTAAATCCGCAATCGTGAATTTTTTGCAGACACAAGAAAGTGCGTCGTAGAGAGGATGATGGTCAAAAGTTGGTTGGTTGTCTATCTCGATATTCTCCTCCAGGAGTTTAGTGAGACTGGGTGGGATTGAGGTTTTCAGAGGGTGGATATGTATTTACGAAAAAATGCCAAAAATATGTAAGAAATATGTATGAAAAATAAAATAAAAATTCGTAAAATTTGTATTTCTGAATATACTGCTTTTGGTTTTTTTGTAGTTAAAATAAATTCGTTGAAATATTTACAAAAATATATGTATTTTTGAAAAAAAGAATATCTAAAATTTTTATATATTTTTCGAATAATGAAATTCTGAAAACCTAGGAATATGCTCCAATATGTAAAAATATTTTGAAATTTTATTACTCTGTGCGAGTTAGGTCTGACCACCCACAAACCTGAAAATAAATACATATCCACCCTCTGCTGATCTTCTGTAGACACGAAACAGAGACACAAAAATTTCTCTTATTGCAAAAATGAGTAGAAAATAGAGAAAAATCCAGCTGGCCAAGCCAATTTACCTTCTTGTCCCTGAAATATGTGGCATTTGGTACATATGTGCTAAATCATGATTTCATGGAAATAATATTTCCCCATAATTGTAAATACATTTTTGCATACATACACCGATTAAAATCTCGCTATTTTTTTGCAATGCAACCTCTTTCTTGACCGGTTTACGTATTGAAGTGTCAATAAGAAGAAATGATGACCAAAAGACATGCATGGACGGATCTGATCTGATACCTTACATAATAGAAACTGGATTATAAATTTGGTCGTTTGGCCAGTGTGCCATTCTCCTCGTCGACTGACAAGGTTTGGACCAAGATCAAGTCCTCATTATGCAATAAAATGAATAATATTCGCGTCGAGTTTTACTATAAATCCGGTTCAGTCGATCAACAAACTGTATTCGCATAAAGTCTTTTTTCTCCTCCTCTGCCATTTTTTTGGCAAGATTCCACACGTCAAGGTGTGATTGCAGGGGAGATACATAAATTAATATTTCGCATATTTATTTGTCCAGTCCAGTGCATGAAATGCTAATTTCTTTATTTATTAAATTATTCTTACCAAGAATTCCAAAACTGTGACTCAGAAAAATTGCGAGATCAGGTTTTTGCACTATTCCATTTTATTTTTTTTGAATCTGCCCTTTTTTATGCATGTTGCTAAATATTTGCATTTCGTTTCTGACTTTGATGAAAGAAATGGCTTCTTTTTTTCTGGACTGTCAGGAGATTGTGATGATGAAGGCGAACTGCAAAACAAATATACAAAACCACCCCCATAAATTTCATCGCATCACTTCCCACGTCCGTTAAAAAATCTCTCTAGTAAAAAATACTACGCGTACTCAAATACCTACATAAAAAGCTTCACATTCCTGGATGAATGTATAATTTGGCATCTAATTATATCGTGAATACATACAGTTAAAAAGATATTTGATACATATTTAACTGTGTTTTTTTTACGGATGATGATGATGTTTAGAGATCATTATCAAAAAAAGAACTATTTTCAGCCTTCTTTTAGTCATGATTATTGATCAATGTCAAAAAAATGTGAGCCTTTATTCAAATAAACACTTCTCCAAAACTGATTCTAAAGGAAAAATTATCAAAAAAACTTTAATCCATTTTTATCCTCGTTTCGTTCATCGTAAAAATTGCACTGACACCTGTCTCGACTTAATTATTCTGCTTGGCTGTCTGTATACAGAAATAACAGCAGAATGCTTTTCAGAGTAAACATTTGAGATAAAATTAATACCTATTAAGTGAAATAAACACCATTTTTCACTCTATATGATCCACATTTTTGTCAAGGTTGGGCTGACCAATTTTCCTACATATTTGGCTCTCGAACTACACAATGCGTTAAGATAACACCCAAGATGGCGTGAAGTAAATGAGGATTTCTGGTGTTTCTAGTCAATAAATAAGTCACAATAAAAATAAAAATATGTGATACATTTTTATCTCCATTCTTCCCTTATTATCTGCCCAATTGGAGTTTTTTGTCTCAATCTTTCAAACCAGATTATGCACCTTTTTTGTCCCAAGTTGATTTGATAATGTAATCAATCCCAGTTACTGAACTAAATCCTTCTGAAATACAGACACAAATCAGCCACCCACTAAAAACTCGTCAAAAAAGCAATTACATATCCGGCCGGATGATCTTTTCTTTGATTTTGGCAATACTTAAAGACAAAAAAATCGCATGCATAGAAATTATTATGTAACGTCATACATGGCAATTCAAATTAAAATGCCATGCTTTGTTTTCTTCTCTTCCTTTATTGCATCACACTCTAAACTAACCAACTACCTACGTACACACGATATTGTTATTCATTACAAATGACTATATTAGAACAATCAGAAGAACTCAAGTTCAAGATCGACCGAGTTCTCCTACATAAAATCCAAGAGTATTGGACAAGGCGACTTAGATACAGCAAAGTCATTGAAGTTTGGGTGTGGCTGTTGTAATAGAGCGCTTATTCACTCTCTGGATATTTAGTGAATCAAATACAGGCCAATTTACCAAACCAAATTAAATAATATCTACAAACTACTAACGCCTTTCGTGAAGGTGAACTTTTCACAACAACTCCTCAACTTCCCATTTGTTTACTAGCAGTGGCCGCGGAAGCTGTGGGGACATTAATTAACATTGAGCAGAGGGGGAGATGATGCGGACATCGAATAAATGTGGGGACATTGTCCCTCTGTCCGCGGCCACTGTTTATTATTGACATCATTTCTTTGAGGAGTCACCTCCATCCATGAGACTCATACCGGATCTTGTACATAAATATGTATACTTTGTCTTGTATCATTTTTTAAATGTCGATCCATTTAAATTACTTTTTTTTCATTTAAATTATTTTAGAGGTGAAGAGGTCAAGAGTTTACTCTCTTTTTGTATTTAATAAAATCGTGTGCAACTGTTTGCACTGCTTGCGTAGATTCTATTTCATTTCATTTCATTCAGTTTATTTTGTTAGTGCAACATATCTGGAGTAGAATCTGGCTGGATGGAATGGATGGATGGATGATGTAAAAAAGGAGAATGATCTATTTGATGTGCGTCAATTAATGAAATGACATTATAATGAATGACATTGCCATTCATTTCATCTCGGCGTGCACAATATTTGATCGTGTAATGCAAAGGCGAACTTCACTTTTATGTATTATTCGTGTAATAACAACAATACGGTTGGGATCGTGTAATGACATAAGTTTTTCATAAATAATTTTTTTTGTGTAAAACTTGTAGAGTGGATTGGGTTGGGCGATTGCGAGGCAGGTTTGAGCTAGATAAACATATTTACATACGTATGAAAACAGATCCGGATTCGTACAGATATTCGACAAGATTTGTTTATTTGTCGCATGCGGTTTTGTAATTTATGAAGATATTTACGGGTAAAAATTGTATATTTTTTTAAATTAATGAACTCGAGACAAAGGAAATATTTAGTTTGTCTGTGCATTTTATGTTACATTTTTTATTGTTGTTTTATTTTGATGATTTATTGGCTCAAATATTTATTAGTTTATAATTTTATTTGTGTCCCTCAAATGGAAAATGGAAAATCTTAAATAAAATTGGAAAAATAATAATTTTTCAAAATAAATAAAGTTTGGCGTTAAACACGATAAAAATATAATCTGGATTAGAAGAAATTCGGTATGTTATGATACCCAAAATATTGTTCGATGCTATTATTTCGTCAAAAAATTTAGACGAGACTTTGTAAAATTTCAACTGGTCAATCTTACTAATTGATAAATAATTTGATTTGTACGTTTTAAGAAATGTAACTGTCAGAAATGTTGGTTCTTTCATAGTTTTAGAGTCGTGGGAGGCATCTATGTCTTAAGTGTGAATTAACGCCTCGTGGAATTCTTGAGTTGGGGTGGAGCTTTTTAGTGTAGCCTCACTTCTCTTTTGTCTGTCTGTTGTAGTAGAAGTCTAGTGAGTTTAGTACAGTAAAAGTATTAAATAACAATTATTTGTGGGTCATTTTGATATTTGTGCATTATAATAAACCCCTTATAATTGTACTGAGTTCCGTGTTAACAATCTCATTGGTCATTTATCAGAAACGAACCGATCGTTCACAACATTTGGCGCAGTCTACAGGATAGTGACTTTAAGTGATAAGTGCACTAATCAAACCGAAGGATAAGTGACAATGAGTGCGTACAAGACTCAGCGAGGACCCATTCGGACGGCGTTCACGAAGGCCATCACCGAGTTGACGACGGAACTTGATAAGGAAGAACCAGACGGGACGATTCTACAGCAGCTCGCGTTGCGGTTAGAGGGTCATCATAGCAAGCTCCTCCAAGTGAATGATAAGGTTGAGGAGGCGTTGTTGAAGGCCGGGGACACCACAGCAGAGGAATTTGCATCGGAATATGCGTCGGTTGTCGAATATAAAGAGAAGTTCACGGATGTCACTCTCAGGCTGAAGGAAGTGATGGAGGAAGAAGAAACGTCCGAGGCGTCAAGTAGTGGTAGCAGCAAATCCAAGTCGAAGATAAGGCTACCAAAGTTGGAGTTCAAGAAGTATGGAGGGGATCCGAGAGAGTGGCTAAGCTTCTGGGGACAGTTTAAGAGTATTCATGAGAACGAGTCAATGTCGCCAGAAGAAAAGTTTCAGTATTTGTGTCAAGCCACAACAGATAATTCGAGAGCTAGAGCTATTGTTGGTAGTTATCCTCCTACTGCTGAGAACTATCCTAAAGTGATCGAAAGTTTGAAAAGTCGATTTGGACGTGATGAGATCCTTATCGAAGTGAACCGTCTTTCTCATCTGATGGAATTTCTCAGGGTCGAGGTGGAAAGTGACGTCCGAATCAAGATGGCGCAAACTGGATTTGGAAATGCTTCTTCAAAGAAAGAAAAGTATTTGACGGAGAAGTCAGATCCAGTCTCTACAGCAGCTGAGTTGTATAATGGAGATTCGCCTGTCCAGAAAACGTGCATATTTTGTGAAAAGAAGCACAATAGTCAAGATTGTTATCAAGCAGCAAAGATGAGTCTCGATAGCAAGAAAAAGAAAGTTCAAGAAAAGAGAGCCTGTTTCATCTGTTTGAGAGTTGGACATATTTCGAAATCGTGCAAGTCTAAAGTGAAGTGTCCTTTGTGTGGGCGTTTGCATCACGCCACAATGTGCCCCGAGAACCCAAAGAATAAAGTGGAATCTGCTACGAGTGAGAGTGCAAGTGCGGACACCTCAATGTCAAATTACAGTCATCACGACGTAATGCTGCAGACGCTGGAAATAAGAATCAGCAACAAAGCGAAGAATGAAGAGAGACTGGTTCGTGCCGTGATTGATACCGGGTCGCAGAGGTCGTACGTGTCCAAGAAAGCAGTTCAAGTTTTGGGATTCAAGCCGATTGGAGAGAAAAGGATCATGCATTCCTTATTTGGGGGACAACAGACAGATGAGCAGCGCCACAAGTTATTTGAGATTGCTCTGCAAAGTAAAGATCGTCAGTTTCACTGCAAAATCATGGTTTTGGATCAAGAGAAGATATGTGGCAAGATTTCAAGAGTACCACAAGGACCATGGGTAAAAGAGTTAAAAGGTGCAGGTATTGAGCTGACTGATGTTGACGTGGATGATGAGCTGAGAGACATTCATGTGTTAATTGGTGCTGATGTGGCTGGAGATTTGTTGACTGGAAATTTATATAGGACCTCGAGTGGACCAGTAGCAATTGAGACGAGATTGGGATGGACACTCATGGGGAAAAACAAGTCAACGAGAATGGGTCAAGATGGCAATTCACTCATTGCTACATCACTGCATGTTGGGGACTTGGATATCCAGGCGTTATGGAAGCTGGATGTGATTGGAATTAAGGATCCCTGCGAAACCAAAACAAGAGAAGAACTCATGGAATCAGCCTCAACACACTTTAAAGAAAATGTGAAGATTAATAGCCAGAAACGATAAGAGGTCGCTTTGCCATGGATTGAGGGTCACAAGCCCGTTTCAGAGAATCGTCTGCTAGCAGAACGGAGACTTCAATCCGCGACCAACAAGCTATTAAGCGCCAATAAGATGACAGAATATCAGAAGATTTTTGATGAATGGCTGGAGAGTGGCGTAATTGAACGGGTACCAGAAGATGAAATTGAAAGTGTAGGAAGCTACCTGCCCCACAGACCCGTGTTTAAGCCGAGTAGTACGACCACTCCCACTCGCCCAGTGTTTGATGCGTCTGCAAAGACGAGCAACTTCCCCTCATTAAATGATTGCTTGGAGAAAGGGGAGAACCTAATCGAGCTGATTCCGTCCGTATTAACGAGATTCAGAGCAAAACGGTACGGAGTAGTCTCGGATGTGAAGAAGGCTTTTCTGCAGATATCAGTGAGAAGAGAGGACCCGAATTTCCTAAGATTCCTATGGTGGGAGGACTTTGCAACAAAGAAGGTGGAGGTATTTCGACACTGCCGTGTTGTTTTTGGAGTGTCATCCAGTCCGTTCTTGTTGGCGTCAACTATCAACCACCATTTGGATAGTGCTCGTGAAGGAGGTCGTGAGGTCGCTCAACTTTTGAAGAAGTCCTTGTATGTGGATAACTGCATCGCCAGTTTAGATGATAAAGAACAGTTGGAAGAATTTGTGCGAAAATCAACTGCGATAATGGAGCAAGGAAGATTTGATTTAAGAGGCTGGATTTGGAGTGGAGAACCAGAATATTCGGATGATGTTCGGATCACACCAGTGCTTGGATTACTCTGGAATTTAGAATCAGATTGCATCTCACTTGACGTGAAAGATGAAGAACTCGACGGAGTTCTTACTAAACGGAAGATTCTGTCAGCCGCCAATTCTGTTTATGATCCTCTCGGTTTCTGCAGTCCCGTCACGCTAATGCCGAAATTATTACTGCAAGAATTGTGGATGTTGAAAACCGGGTGGGATGAGGGCGTGCCTGACTCAGTGAAGAAAGGATTCGACGTGTGGAGATCAGAATTAGCAGCGTTAAAGAAGATTCAAATTCCCAGATGTATTTTTCGGGGTGTGACGACTAGCCGAAGTATTCATGTTTTCTCAGATGCCAGCAAATACGCTTACAGTGCCTGCGTATTTATGAGAAGTGAAGGAGTCGACGGAGTTAATGTGCAATTAGTGATGGCAAGAGCTCGCGTGGCTTCAGTGAAGAAGATGACCATCCCTCGTTTGGAACTTTTGGGATGCTGTATTGCGGTCCGGTTGGGAAACACCGTGAAGACGATGTTGGAGGCGGAAGACCTCCCCATTAATTATTGGACGGATTCAAGTTGCTCGTTATATTGGATTCACAAGAATGAGAATTGGGCAACATTTGTGAATAATCGAGTCCTAGAGATACGGAAGAACAGTAACGTGGCGGACTGGAGGCACGTTCCGGGCGTGCATAATCCTGCCGACTTACCATCTCCAGGGTGTGGCGGAGCTAGATTAGTTGACCTCAGATGGTGGGAGGGACCAGTCTGGCTAAGACAACCTGAAGAAGACTGGCCGAGGTCAGAAGTGAATTGTGATCTGAATGTAGCGATGGCAGAGAAGAAGACAGTGGTCAGTCACCTCGCTCTGGAATCAACAAGACCTTGGTATTTGAACCATTTCTCAACATATCGTAAAATTGTGAGAATGGTCGCATGGATCCTTCGATGGAAGAAGATCATCAAGTCAAGTCCTAAGCCTGCTGGACCGCTGACATGTGAAGAGGAAGCGGATGCGGAGCTGAGATTAATTAAGTTAATTCAAAGTGCATCCTTCCGTAAGAATGACCTCGTACTCAAGCAATTAAATGTGATTGAAGATAACTTGGGAATGTTACGAGTCGAGGCACGAATCGTGAGGAGAGCAGACACCATGGAATTCAAGCTCCCCTTATTACTACCTTACTCTCATCAAGTAGTTGACATGCTGATTATGCATGTGCATCAGTCAAGAAATCATTGTGGAATCCAATACTTGATGAGCATTTTGAGAGATAGATTTTGGATTCTTAAATCAAGACAAGCAGTGAAGAAAGTTGTCTCTAGCTGTGTGAAGTGTAAGAGATTTTCCAGTAAGAAAGTAACCACACAGGAAGCACCACTCCCATTGGATCGTGTACGTGATGCGGCTGTATTCGAAATTGTTGGTATCGACTTGGGAGGACCACTGTATCTGAAAGGAGGACAGAAGGCTTGGTTCGTCGTGTTTACTTGTGCCGTCTACAGAGCCGTACATTTGGAATTGGTGACGTCGTTGTCAACAGAGGCGTTTCTTCAAAGTTTAAGAAGATTTGTTTCCCGTCGTGGTCGTCCGTCTGTAATTTTCTCGGACAACGGGACAAATTTTGAGGGTGCAAATAACGCTTTTGCAAAATTGGATTGGAAAGAGATTACCACCACCACTTCAGTCAATCAAATTAAGTGGAAGTTTAATCCGCCAGCAGGACCGTGGTGGGGTGGATGGTGGGAGCGAGTTGTCGGGATGGTGAAGGTCCTACTTCGGAAGGTGTTGGGACGAGCAAGTTTGGATTATGAAGAATTGATGACCGTGCTCTGTGATTGTGAAGAAATCATCAATTCGCGTCCTCTCACCTACCTGTCTGACGATCCGGAGGATTTGGCCCCTCTCACACCCGCATTGTTTTTGAATGAGATGAGAAGTTATGGACTTCCAGAAGTGGATGATTTGGAAGCCAACTTCTTCAACAAGAGATATCGCTACCGACAACAATTGCGAGAAGATATCAGGAAGCGGTTTCGAGATGAGTATTTGGGGGCTCTTGTTCAAAAAGGAAGAGGAAAGTCGAAAAGGTGCCCTGAAATCAAGTTGGGTGACATTGTTCTGTTGGAAGCTGTGAACAAGAAGCGTGTGGAGTGGCCGTTGGCGAAGGTCATGGAGACGTATCCTGGACCGGATGGAATTGTTCGAGTCGTGAAGCTCAAGACCAAGAATGGAGAGTTAACTCGACCGGTGCAGCGTGTATTCCCTTTGGAAGTTTCGACCCAGCAACGCATTCATTTTTCTGTTCCAGACACTGTCAAGAAAATTGGTGAAAGTGATAGTGCAGTGATTACTCGTAGTGGTAGGAAAGTGAAAGTCCCAGAGAGATTGGGCATTTGTTAATATGTTTATTTCCTACTAATAATTTCTTATTGTTGTATATAATTTCTGTTCAAGGTTTGATTTGACCTTCTCATGTTTCTTCTAAGGTCAAAGGTGGGAGTAATGTCAGAAATGTTGGTTCTTTCATAGTTTTAGAGTCGTGGGAGGCATCTATGTCTTAAGTGTGAATTAACGCCTCGTGGTATTCTTGAGTTGGAGTGGAGCTTTTTAGTGTAGCCTCACTTCTCTTTTGTCTGTCTGTTGTAGTAGAAGTCTAGTGAGTTTAGTACAGTAAAAGTATTAAATAACAATTATTTGTGGGTCATTTTGATATTTGTGCATTATAATAAACCCCTTATAATTGTACTGAGTTCTGTGTTAACAATCTCATTGGTCATTTATCAGAAACGAACCGATCGTTCACAACAGTAACATTCAAAATAAAAGATTAAAATAATTTATTACAAAAAAATCCAGTTTGACGTTAAATTATTTTTTAAAAATCCAGTTTAACGTTAAATAATTTTTTAAAAATTCAGTTTGACGTTAAATTATTCAAGAAAATCCAGTTTGACGTCATAATTTATGAAAAAAAATATAATCTTCATTACAAAAAAATTATCGTGATACACTAAAACATTGAAGGGTATTGTTTCCTCAAAAAAATTGGGATAAAACTTTATTAAATTTCCACTAGATTATTGACTAATTGGTTCTTGTCTCATCAGGTAATAACTCACCTGCTATACATACTTCCATAAAAGTGCATTATTTACCATTTCGTCATTATTACTGACGAATTACAAGGCCTCAAAGTGGTGACACTTCCTAAATCCGGATTTCCTTGAAAAGTGATAAAGAAAAAAATAACCAAAAAGTCTGCATTTATTCAATTACTTCATAAAATCATCGCTGGAGTCACACTACAACCATTAATTTTGCCCATTTTTATCTTAGTTCCTGTACATTTGTCAATTTTGCACATATTTTATGGATCCATATGGATTTTTTTTGCATGTCCATCAATTTTTGCATGTACCCTTAAGTGTTAAGCACCAAGCAAACCACTTAGGAGTGAGTTGTGGTTAGCAAATAAATGGATAGCGTGACTTTTCCTCCCTCCTCTCAAAAAGCCATTCTTGAACAACAAAATAAGGCATACGTCATGTCACTCAGTCAACTAAATAGCAAATAATTCACACTTTAGCTCAAGGAGTGAATGCAACTGACATATGATGTGCCTACGAGTTGAGTAGGGACGTGTCACATCGTCGTAAAGGGCTTATTACCTCATCAATGGGTATCACAGTCTTATTAGTACAATCACTTATTTACGGCCAGACAGTGGTCGCGGAAGCTGTGGGGACATCTGGGACATTAACATTGTAGGATAGGGGAGGGAAGGGTTTATATAAGATGGGAAGATAATGCGGACATCGAACAACCGTGGGGATATTGTCCCTCTATCCACACCCTTCCGCGGCCACTGCATCGTGTACATACATTTGAGTAGCCTGAATTCCCCCAGTGGCCGCAGAAGCCGTGGGGACATCTGGGGACGCTTTTTAGGATGGGGGGAGGGCCGGGTATATATAATATGGGGAGATGATGCAGACATGGAACAACCGTGGGGACATTGTCCTTCCGCGGCCCCTGCGTGCAGACACTAAATGCTGAAGAAGTGCATAAGTGGTCTGGTCTGGCCATCCATGAGATGAGATGATCATGCCCATAACCAAGTCAAAGTGCAACCAGCCTTTTTGGCAAAATTCCTAATGGGCCTCCTCGCAAAATGTCTCGCAGCAGCATCCAACTTTTTCATACGTACGTATTTAAAAACAATGCATGCATGCATGCAATACGACCACGACCACAAAACTTGCACCACGATACCAGATTCTGTAGCTGCATGTACTAAATTGGAAGGACGTTCAGTTTACCTGAATATACACACTTTTTGGAGACGATTGAAGTAAAAATAGCTCCAATCCTATTTTCCGTGTCCTCAAATTGGCTTCAGAAGAAGGTGATTCGAATGAATGAATTATTTTAAGGATCGGCTTAATGAATTGCATTTTAAGTTGCATAATAATTAATGCGTTGTGTTAATGCCGTCATTTTTTCATGAAAGGTTAGTTACATGTGTCCTCTCAAATTTGGTCTATTTTTCTATTTTGAGAGAGGTACAGATCAAGGAGTGGGCAAAATTTGGACATGTTTTTTTATTATTCCAAATCTTAAAAATTAATTAATTAATTAAACGAATTAAAATGAATGCAATGCTATTAACTGCTTTATGATAAGCGTCATTAAATTAATTCATATTTTTTCCCTTCTTATCAAGCAAATGACAAGGTGTAGGTATGTATATAAAGCAGTGCATGTACTAGTTTGTCGTACACCTTCATCTACTTAACGATGCAATTTAAATTGTTTTTCTTTACAAATGTACAACACAATTAATTTTGAGATGTTGATGAATAACTCTGAAATAGTTTATCTGTATTTGAGAACTGTTAAATACATGTGAGGTACCGCATATTTTTACACACGTCAAAAATTTTATGCACAAAAAAATTATCTCTTTAATATTTTATGTCATGTCAATGTTTCATATTTTATGGAACGACATTGTTAACTGTAATAAATGTAATGTAATTTTCTTTTGAGGGACCAATAAAATCTGAATGGACGTGTCGACCTCTGAAAAATTTAGTGTTTTAAGACAAATATATCTGCATTTTATTAATATTATGTACATACGTACATACACATACTTCCGGTTAGCGTCATCTTCTTCTCCTCCTCCTATAATTAATTGTTGAAGTGAAAAATCGTACTAATTTTTCTACTATTTAAGGTAATTAACGCAAGGCAGCAATGTCCAAAGTAAGGACGACATACATATTTATTTTTCGACATAAAAATAATACCTTAGTCCTCGCGTGCTACCTGTGTCACTCATTCACTCACTTATTAAAAGAATCAACTATTTCCCAAAAGTTTAGCAGCTATAAGTGTCGTAAAAATAAATAGTATTATAATATTTCAACCATGTACATACATACACAAATAGCACACGTTTTCATAATTATTTCACTCTTGCCAAATACTTGAGAAGAAGATGATTGGGTCAAATTGGAAGAGTCAATGAATGGGACGTGATGTCGTTGCCTTTTTTATTACTACTTTGCTTGCTTGCTTACTATTTATTCTTAGCCGGAGGATGTGAGCAGATGAGCAAAAGTGGACTTGATTAGTTGACATTATTGACCTCCCATTTCCCTAATTTGCATACGAGTTAAATGTCAAATGTTGCAAAGTTAGATATTTATTTGCACAAACTTTACATAATCTGCAGATATGGAAGAGAATCATCCTCTCACTTTTACTGTCTTAGCTACACTCTAAATAAAGTTGGGGGAAAATTTTACATGATAAAAGTTAATAATCAACCTTGACTAAATTTTGTGTAAAATTTTTTGCAAATTTTGCACAAACTTATTTAGAGTGTACTCTCAAAGATCATCGTCATCTTCATTCATTTCGTGTATAAAGATGATACGGCAATTAAATAATCTGGTGAATGAACCAGAATTGTGTAAATGCTCGAAATGCATAAAGTTATCTTTGCAACAAAATGATGATGAAAATTCCCAAGATTTAAATACTCATCGGAAAAAAACTATGTCTATCTGCTCAAAAAAGGGTTGAAGTTGAACACCGCGACCACATTAATTATTTCTCAAACTCATCCAATGATCCAATCCATAGTTGATTTTGTAACATCGTAAATTGATTTCTAAATGTGAAGAGCATTTCAATTATTGACTCGTCTTCATTCATCACCTTCATTTCGTTTGATTCGTTGCTTTGTTTAAAACTCTTTATAGAATCATTCATTAGTCCTTAAATGTCATTTTCAATGTTATTTCATTTCATTTCACTGCTGCTGCAACTTGCATACTCCACAAAAATTAAACAATTGCTCAACTACCTCAATCAAGCAGATGGTTGCGTGCATGCATATTTATTTAGAATAGGTATTTATATGTAAGCAGTGGCCGCGGAAGGGTGAGGGCATCTGGGGACAATGTCCTCACGGTTGTTCGATGTCGGCATCATCTGCCCATCTTATATAAACCCCTGCCTACCCCCATCCTACAATGTTAATTTCCCCCAGCTTCCGCGGCCACTGGAAAAATTCAGGCTACTCTCAAATGTATGCACATGATGCAGTGGCCGCGGAAGGGTGAAGACAGAAGGACAATGTCCCCACGGTTATTCGATCTGCCCATGTTATATGAACCGATCCCTCCCCCATCCTACAATGTTAACGTCCCCACGCCTTCCGCGGCCACTGCTTATGCACATAAATTTTATGTAAGTCACTGCTTACAAACAATCACCGTACTTTTGCATACGTAGCTTTTGTACCTGTCAAAACTCACTTAAAACTAATTGCAGCAGGTAATTCGCTAATGAAAGGTTTGAAAATTGAATCTGATCTTGCACAACGGCTTCGTTGGTCATTTTCATTTCATTGTTGTCGTCTCGTCGTCATTAATTCCGCGATACATCTCTGTCATAGAGAGAGAGATTGAGAGTGGTGCACGTGGGGTCGTGATAGGTCGGGGTTAAGGTTGCCTATCTAAAAGTAAATTATAATACAATACAAAGCAACTTTAATTTGAAGTGATGCTCAGAATTAATTAATTAGTACGGTTGTTGTGCTATCAGGTAAAAAAAATGGGAGGGTAATGTGTTACATGAATAAGGTGAAGATGATCCAAGTGTCAGAAAAGAGATGATTTTTTTGGCAGGCAAGATTGACAGTTGAACTGTACGATTCAATTTGTAATAAATGCTGGACAAATGGATGGATGGATTGGCAAGTATTTAAAATAAGAATGTACTCAAAAACCTATAATGCAGCCTTATTTAGCCCGAGTCAGGTTGTTGTTATTAATTTTAGAGAGCTAATTTTTTTCGACAGATTTTGAGGAAACTTCTTTTATCTT